AAGATGAAAAATGAACAAGGACACAGAACTTTCGTTTGGCGTGACCAAAATCAACTAAAAGAAGACACTGCCGACCCGAACCGATGAAAGATGGGGGGTAATCCTTGCGGATTACCCCCAAAAAGGGAAAAATCGAGAGGAAAAACTTACAAGCACATCCAGGTAACAGCGAGGTCGAGACGAACTGAGAGCACTCTCGACCAACCAGAAAGCAGCACCTATGGCGTCACTTTCTGGGTTCGAGAGTGCTCCCATGGGATTGGCTGCCGGCCTGGAGGGCGCCGAATTGATACAATTTTTAAAATTTAAAGGGGACATACTACACTAGATAAGGTAATTTTTTTTTATACACACATTTTTTATTATTTTTATGTAACGCATGCATACGAAAGTGTTAAAAGTGAACATTTTATGTAACGATTATATAAAAAAATAGGTCATCATTTTCGTGAGCGTTTCGCGAATTAGAAGAATTTTAGTATGTTCGCGAAAAGCTCACGAAATTATAACATTTTTTTATATATTGGTTGCATAAAAACGTTCACTTTTAACACTTTTGTATGCATGCATTATATAAAAAAATTAACTTTCGTACATAATATTTATCTTCACCTTCTGTGGTTCTGCTACTAGGGAACAGACCCGGATTTAAGGGGGGGCAAGGTGCCATGGCACCGGGCAGCAAATTTCGGATTTTTTTTTTCATAGAAAAAGAAAGGAGAGAGAAAAAAAATGAGAGAAAAACTAAGTGCCGGGCAGCGGCGGGGCACTGGCTTCCATTTTGAATTGACTCCATCTCCGGGAGAGTCACCTCGATCCTCTCTGAAAATCATGGGTTACTTCAAGGCGGCCAGTTTATACTGCCTAATAAGAAATTATTTCTTGACTCTCTCCACGAAATTACACAGAATTTTCCCTAACGCTCTATGATGATCCACGAGACACCGTGAGAGGTCCCACGAGAGCACATATGGGTCACATGTATACCCCCATTGGAGCACACGGGTCACACAGCGGCTCCCAGGGGAGCGCACGGGTCACATGTTAACTCCCAGGGGAGCACACGGGCTCCCCTGTCCATTCCCCAGGGGAGCACACGTGACGTGCTTCCTTCTCCATTCCCGAGGGGAGCACATGTGATGTCGTGTCATTCCCCTGGAGGCACATGTAATCACATGTCATTCCCTAGGAGCGCATGTGATCACATGCCATTCCCCTTGGAGCGCATGTGATCACATGTCATTCCCAGGGGAAATTTTTAGCAGGGGCGTTTATCAAATAGATAGGTTTGCGCTACCTATTAGGTATGTTTGCTACCCACATATAGGTACTTACGGCAAAATAAAAGACCAAACTCAAGTTGAAAATATCTGCTGATAGGTTTAGGTACGCAAAAGACCCATTATGACTGGCCCTTCTCCTCATTGGAGACGTGTATACCTCAATCCTTTATCTTTTTCTATGAACAACTAAACTCTTGAGCAATACTCTTGAGCATGTCGTGAATGTGCAGCAGTTAGTGGTACCTTTTAACTCCGGTAATTAAATGACTGATTCCTTCTCGACCAATATTTTTGATGTTCTATTTCAGAAAACAAATGCACATTTCCCTCTCGGTGGGAAGGGACGTGGTTCCAATCGGGAGTTCGGAGTCCCATCACAATCCAAGATAATAAATTAAGCAATAAAGGAAGGTGCCTTGCGTCTGAGGGTGATAAATTCTTGGTCGTTGACGAGTGAGTATAGTTAAATTTATTTTATTGTACCTACTTGTTTCCCTCATTTGACATTGAATTCCTCCGATTTTCTCCATCTCTTTTGTCCCGTAGTAGTGGCCGCAGCATATGGATGCTGCAGGGTGATTATTTTCTTAGGTACCTTTGATATATGCAATGAAGCTCATTTTCAACTGGAATAAAGTACCTATTTAGTTTACGTCGAGGCGAATACATGAAGTTCGTACATTATAAGGGTTCTCTTGTCATGAAACAACATGAAAACTGTAGGTGCCTATCTGTTAGTTTGTGTGTGTGTGTGTGTGTTTTTTTTTAAACAGACGGCTCAAACGGGTATAGAATCAAATTGACAGTGCTGCTTCAAAGAGTTTCCAAAATTCGTCGCATTATTAAAAAACACAATCTTACGGCTCCCTTCAAAAAAACCTCATTTATTTCCCTTCCACACCCAACATTTACTTATTTTGACAATTTATTACTGTTTAAATTTCGGTGGATGACGTTATAGACCGTGTTTGTTGGAAGGGCGATTCCCTCGTTGATATGGGTCGTGGGAACTTGATGTTCTGAGTTTTGGACCGGATCTTAGTATTTCCTCTGATCTTCAAATATAATTTGACATCATCAAAACACGATTCAGTGATTAGCGCAACTGACCCAATAATCCGTTCTTCCGAGATTAGGATTTTTGCGAAGAGACGAGGAACTTTTCGTGCTTGTCTGTTCTTTTCTTACGTATCCATCGATGAAAAATTATTATTTTTAGTTACCTGGTGTCCCTTTGTGCACTGAACAGGGCTCGCCAAATCACGCACCTTATGTCATTTTCGGAGACCGGAATTTGAAATTATTGGTGTTGAGATTCGATGCGAGGGATAAGGATGATGTTTGGGGGAAAAATGAAATATTTAATCCATAGAAATATGGGCATTGAATCAGCAAGCATGGAAAGTTTCATATCTCATCGCGAATACCTATTCTACCTCAGAAAAACAGATTAATTGTAATTAATCTAAACTCTTTTATGGAAAGAATCATTGAAAATCTATTTTTAATGTTTAAACTCTGATCCAGAGAAGAAATTCACTCCGTGTGTACCTGTTTTTTTCCGCAGGAACGATGTATGTTTTCGATGTGTCGTGGTACATGAAAAACACGCGAATGTTCTCCAGTACAAAGAAAGTAAGTTAAAGATTTCTGCATCGCATTACCTTGTTGTTATTGTGCCGTCCATAAATACGTAATTGCGTCTACGACGTTCCGGAAGGTCCTGTCTGGTGATTCACGAAGGAGGGGGGGGGAATTAAGACATGAGTCCTGTAAAAAAAGCAGAGTTACATTAGGTACAATCTGTAGTTTAACAACACCGCAATCTTTTCATTTAGAAATCAATTGGAAATAAAGGGGAGAAGTTGGCTGCATACTGAAAGTACCAAGAAAAGAATAGATTTTATTACCAAAGGCTGGCTAAGCTGTATGAAACATAATTATTGATAAAAAAATCGAGCTACAAGCGAAAACAAATAATATAATAAAATTTTTCAAAGTAGGTACTTGTAGATGAGAAAAAAATAATACTTTCAAAAAACGAAGCAAACGTTTCGACCTACAAACTACGGTATTCTTCAGCGCATTACAAAAAACAAATGGAAACATTTACCCCCTCCCCCTCCCCCTTAAAAAAACACTTTTACCAAACTAAGTGAAATTACCCAATTTTTTGCAACTACATCTTAGAATAAAATAAAATTAATGAAGAAAAATGAGTGATAACAAGTTATCACCATTATCACTCATCTTTCTTCATTAACTTTAATTTTATTTTATTCTACCCTGTGAAAACGGTCCCATTGGAACCCGTAGGAAATCTCAATGGGAACCCGTAGCAAATTCCCACGAGGACCCGTTGGGAATTGACCATGGTTCCAATGGGTTCCAATGGGATTAGTCAATCAAGAACCTGCGGGTTTGGATCTATTCCCATTGGAACCATGGCTAATTCCCAAAAGGTAAAATACCCGGACGCCCTCGTGTGGACTTGAACCCGAACCGCGTTTGTCATAGCCTCGCACTCTGCCACTTAGCCACAGGGAACTGATGGTGTTTCGGGTTAAAATCATGCCTGTCAAGGCTGTTATAGCATGCATTGCGTCAGTGCGCGGCTCAACTTTCATCATAGCTTTGATTATAACGCCGTGTTTTCTCAGGCTTCTTTCTTTTTCCTATTTTTATTTTTTTTTCGTGTTATTTTTTTTTTTTCGATATCACGCACTAGGTACTTACACTAAATTTACACCGGTGTATTTTACACCACATACTAACTTGAGAACTTAAAACTATTTTTAAAATATTTTCAAAACTTTTTAAGGAATATTTTTAAAATGTTTACCTGCAATATTTTTGACTTATTTTAAAAATACTTTTTGTAAACATTTTAAAAATATTCCCTAAAAAGTTTTAAAAATATTTTGAAAATATTTTAATTACAATATTGTCGCATGAAAATATTTTGATAAACGTGATAATATTTTCAAAATATTTTGTGCTAACTGGGTATGTTTCACGGTTACTTGCTAGCAGGTTTGATGAGACCCCTTTTGGAGCATTTAATTGAATGTTATTCCTAGATTGGATTGGGTCTTAGTGAAAAAACCAGTGTTAGGAATTAATTTAAAAAAAATAAATAAATAATGGCGACTTCATTCCCTTCTTCAGGACGTGGATATTTAATACAGTGAAATTCCTACTTGTTTGTGTTAGTTCGTAATGTCTTTCTAAAAGCGTCTGAATCTCGAAAATCCCATTTTAGATACCATCGTAATTAATAATTAAAGCAGAAGATTATTTCTTGCTCGCCGATAGTGACGTATTCCAATGAATTGCGGTCAGCGAATTTCCTCCGATACTAAAACTTTTCAGACTGAACTGGAGTACTTATAGTGTGGCGTGGCACAACCAACAATACCTGATTATTTTTACCCATTTTTCATTGCGTCGTATTTCCTCGGACAATTAAAACGCTGTCACGGATATTTTAGTAATCGTAGTCAAAGGCACCAACCCTCTTTTTTACTGCCTCAGGATTTTCAAATTGTGCTCCTGAAAAGATTTCTTCTGTGACACTCGTGTACATTTTTCTCTGAATCTGATGAAGATATTTTCAATTTTTCCCCCGTTACATTACTGATTTTCCGTTATGGAAGCAAGCTGAAGCGTTTTTTTTTTTTAAATTTTGGACGATTAAAATTTTTAGAGGTTACCGAAGTTGAAGAAAGTTCCATAATTCTTAAACAAATTTCAAGAAACGATCAATATTCGACTTTCAAAATGTTCAAAAACAGGTTGTTTATATAGGCGGCCATTAATCACACAACTAAACAAAAATCGTCCAAATATCTTTAATGGTTCCTGAGAAAAAGGTACATGCAGTAACGAATATTTCCATGCTTTAGCACAGAAAAGTGAGCTCCCGTTAACTTCCAAATTAAAAATCGTACAGTTTAAAGGCAAATATATGCATGATTTGTCTACTAGCAAGGGCAAGTCAGGAAGTTGCCACTTTCCAATTAAGATACAATTTAATGTCCTTTAACGACAAGAAAACAGACTGATCCGCCAGGTACTTATCGTTTTTGGACGCAGGTAACAGTTTTCAAATTGTTCGACTCGAAAAATTTGCCGTTGTAGACTTGGCGGGCCTCCTACGGACTCCAGTTCAAGACCGAGAATACCTGCAGCTGTCATTTAAAGGGAAATTTTTGAGACGGCAAGAATTCACCACGTTGCGACTTGGCTCTCAAAGAAACAAAAAACTGAGTTCCCTTAGGTCACTCCGGCTGTCCAAAGGGTCCCATTAGGTCTCTCTGGCCGCCCCACGGGTCCCAAGAGTCCTCTCTGCCTGTCCCATAGGTTCCCGATGGTCTCCCATGGGTACCAATAGGTTTATTTCCCCATCCTATGGGCTCCCATTCGTTCCCATTGGTCCCCATGAAATTCCTAATGGAACCCATGGGACCGTTTTTACAGGGTAAAACGGAGTCGCAAAAGATTTGTTTGTAAAATGTTTCCGATTGTTTTTTGCATTGCACAGAAGAGGACCGCAGTTTGCAGGTCGAAACTTCTGCTCTGTTTTTTGTAAGTTTTATTTTTTCTCATTTACATGTAGTTTGAAAAATTTTATTACATTATTTATTTTGGCTTGTAGCTCGATTATTTTTTAATCAATAATTATGAAGAGAAAAGAAGTGCTCATGGAGCCCCATACACGAGAGATAAAAAGAGGAAGCAGCGTGTACGGTGCGTGCAAGCCTTTAAGGATACTGGGTAACTTCAGCACTTCATAAATTCCGACGAATGGCCCATTCTTGGGGGCCCAAGCAGGGCACCGGTAGGAGCCTCCAAAACTGGAGAGACCTGAAGAAAGGAAAAGGGGGTGGGGAAGGAAATAGGCAAAAAGGAAAAGGATGGAGAGGTGTCTAATTATTTTAAATTACGTTACAATAGCTAAACCAGACAGAGTTCCTAGGTATGATAGGTATCAAATTTTGGATACCACTGAGGGCTTCTCAAGGACTCAAACTTGGGTATCAAGAAGAAAAAGGTGACGGGGGATGAGACCTTAAGATTGGGTTAGGAGGCAAAGAGCATGGGAGTGATCAGGGAGCTCCATACTCGAGGAGTAAGACGAGGAAGCAGTGTTTAAGATTCTCGAAGCCTCAACAGTGAGAAAAAATAAACTTTTCAGCGATGCCTCTAAACCTCATGACTACGAGATAAATTTAACCCTGGTAAAAATGATCAGTTGACGGTGTATCAGTTTGTCAACGGTGTTTTGGCGCGGAGCATCAGTAGACAATTGAGATCGGGTCAGTTGATGGCTTCAACTGATCTAAACTGATAAGTGGTGGCAGTTCGAAGTATCAACAGATCTGAAATGATACTTGGTATCAGTTGGTACCATGTATCAACTGATAAGACATAAATTAAAAACGCACCATCTACTTGTGTACTTTTACGTATTAATTTAGTTTCTCACGTTTATCTCACGATTTGACGACCAGAGAGCGCTGCTGGGAGTTACCGTTCCCGTATTTCTGACACGAGGCTTAGCAGGCAGCGCTCATTCCCAAACGGTCTCCCATCTAAGTACTAACTACGCTCGGCGTTGCTTAACTTTGGTGATCGTCCAAGAGAGAGAGCCACTACTACATCCGCGCATGCGATCAAAGTTGACGTATTTTTGCCATTTCAGGGCCCCCACTAGAATCAATTTGACAGAGAGTGATGATTTTGTGTTGAATTTGAATCTACACTTAATTTTTTCATTTTATTTTTTAATCACTTAAAATGTAAGTGAAGTTTTACAAGTTATGTTTTCCTTAAAGATGAGACTAAGAAACACAAAATGCGAAACCAAAAATAATAATTAAAGATGTAAAAGAAGATGAAATGATGAAAAATCAATAATCAACTTATGAGAACTTGAAAATAATCATGAAAAAAAAAAATTGAAAACAAATAATTAAATCTTTATTGCGGGAGGGTCAAAAAAATTTCATTAACATATTTATATGAATTTAATGTGAAAAAAATAATTGATCAAGGTAATTTTATGTGTTTTCGTCACATTCTTTTCATGTAATTTTTATGTGTAAATTATGGAAAAAATATTTTCGAGCGGTGAGCGTTGAAGAAGTTAATACGTCTTTATATGAATTTTCAGTTAAGAAAAAAAATGATCAAGATAATTTTTATGTGTTTTTGCCACGTTCTTTTTGTGTAGTGATAAAATTATGTTTAAAAAAAGGCTCAAGTTGTCGCCGGTAAGGAAATCATTTACTTAAATTCATGTAAATTTTATATGAAAAATGTTAAGTCTCCTCGAAATTTCATCTTTTTTCTTTTTACATTTTTTGATATGAATTTGAAGTGAAATTCATGTAAACACTTGATTTACCAAGATTATTTTTCTTCAGTTTTACGTTATTTTTAATATATTTTTTACGTAAGTAAATGTTATTGTAATTTCCAATATTTTTACGTAATTTTACCAGGCGTGAGAAAAAAATTGAAAAGATGTACAATTGATTCCATGGTTAACGCCCTATAAGGCCATTTTTACGTGAAAAAGATAGAAATGTATATAAATTTACGTTTTTTTAAACGTGAAAGCGTTCTAAGAG